CCGGCCAGGGGCCGGGATGCGGACGGGGCCAGCCAGGGTGTCCGGTATCTCCCGGTGGGAGCACCCGGCTTACCGCGGGGCACCGCCGGCGAGGTGCAGCGGGAAAAAGGATTCAGGGTTTCTCCGTATGCAAAAGGAGAGGATAAAAACAGGGGGGTTTTGGTGCAGTCTGATCTACGGGTGCCATACGCTTGCTGCTGTGCCAGCGCAGGTGCCCACCCTGGGCTCAGGTAGCTGGGGATCCAAGAGGGAGAAGGTACAAGACAGCGATTAAACCCTTAACGAGAGACTTTGCGGGAGCGGAGAGATGGCTGGAAGCAATTCCAGTGTGGTTTTGCAAAAGGGTCTTTACGGCTCCACGTTCACCAAACCCCAGGAGAGGTTTCTCCTCTGCCGGCCCCACGGCTCTGACCGTGCCCGAGCATCCTCACCGGAGCACAAACCACTCGAGATCCCTCAAGCATCCCACAGGGGAAACTCCACCGGGAAGGGACAGCATCACCCACCCGAAGGCACCAAAACCAACCAGGAAAACACCAATTTTTTGGAAAAAGGAACAAAACCAACTGGAGGAAGGGATGGTTCCTCAGCACAGGGCACCCAGTTGTTTGCCACCCCCGGCTGTCCCCCTGCAACTCAGCACCCCGCAGCACCCACACACGCTCAGCCAGTTCATTTGCCAGCCTTTAGGTCCGGACGCAGCGTTCCCAGGGCTCATCCAACCTTTGCTACCATCCCGCCAGCTCCGAAGGGAATAAAAAATCCCCCACCCCCCCCACGATGCCTTACTTGATGGGGAAGGTCTCATCCTTCCTCCGTTGCCTCTCCCGGGGTGGGACAACCTCCCAGCCAAAAGTCAGGCTCCAGTCGAAGTTGCCCCGGCTGTGCTGTTTCCCGTTTTGGACGGGCTTGGAGAACTCGAAGGTGTTGAGATCGATGGTGGCGATGTCGGGGCTTACGACGGCTGTGGGCTCTTGGGCGATGCGGGATAAGAGGGGCTCCAGCCAGCCGTGGAAACACTCGCCTGGGATACAGGGAAGGGTCGGCCGTTGAGTGGAGACAACTTCACCCATCCCCAACTCCCTAGGGACCCCCGGGGAGGTGGTGGCTACTCACAGTGGGCATCCAGGAAGGTCAGGACCTCGCCACTGGCCACGCTGGCTCCCAGCAGCCGTGCCGTGATCAGCCCTTTCCGCTCCTTCTGCCGCACGACTCGGACGATCTGGAGTTGCTCCACGTAGCGATCCAGCTCGTCCTTCAGGTAGTCTGCGGTAGCAGGGGGGAGGAAAAAAAGCAACCGGCTTTGTCGGAGGGAGGAGATGCTGGTCCCTGCATCCCATCTGCCCACCCTGCTGCTCTCAGCCCATCCCGGCCCCTCGCAGGAGCTGCTGCTGCTCCTGCATCCGGGTTCGGATCCGGGGACAGATGGAGCCTCCTTTCTCCCAAATCCCAGAGTGGTTTTGGCTAAAGAAAGGGAGTTTTGCAAAAGAGCCGGCCGCCCGCCCCGTCTAATCCCCCACTAGGGAGGGATTAGGGAACGACGGGGTGAGGAGGTCTTGTGCCCTGCGGTTGGAAGCATCACCGGGATGGAGCGGATGAGCTGTCACCGAAGGAAGGGACGGCAAAGGTGTCAGCGAATGAAACTGGGATTTCCCTCCTTCCTTGGCAGATGTAACCAAGCCAAAAGCTGGGAATGGCCAAGCAAGAGCTGGGATATCCGGAGACCCATCCTGGGAAGGGACCCCAAGTCCAAGTTGCGTCCCCACCGCAGCGGGAGCCAAGCTCTCGGGCGATAAAGCCCCGCACCGCCCCGAGGAGCCAACACAGATGCCGTGGGTGGAAAGGGAGCATTTATCTCTGGGGCGAGGGCAAAGTCTGCTCCTCTCCAGCGCCCTGACGCTGAACCACATCGTTAATTTGCTCTGGGTGTAGCTAATGAGGATTGCGGCCTGGCGGGTAAGCTGGCCGGGGGACGAGGTATTTGCAGGATGAGGGAGGAGCACCCGGTTTTTCTCCAGGGTTGGGCTAACAGCAGTGCCGGAGAAGGGAAAAAAATCCCTGAAGGTGCTCCCGGGTGGGTGCGAAACAACATGGAAGAACCGTCGGCTGCATCCCTGGGCTGCCCGGAGACTCGGCATGAGTCGCTTCTCCTGCGAGCGGCTCAGCACCGCTGCTCCCAGGGATGGAA